GACACTCTTAGTTCATATTACAAGTGAATTTAACTGTTAACTCTGTGTCTTGATACCATATCCCATCATACTATCAATTACCTGGATAATGTAACAAGTAACACATTGACAGATTAGCTAGTAATATTACAGTAGATACTACAGTCTGATAGGAAGCAATACTGCACCACTAGGAAACTTAATTTAATTATTTATTTTGTTTTATTTAAAAAAAAAAAAGACGAATATTAATAAAAACAAGTGTCTTAAGGGAAGTATTCTGTGGAAACCGGGCAAAGAATATCAATAAAAAAAAGAGACGAATATTAATAATAAAATTAAAAAGACAAATTGATTAAAAAGTTGAAGGAAAGAATATGCATCATAAATGATTTTCCAGTTGTGGTTCATGAATATATATATATATATATGGATTGAGATATACAAAAGAGCATACCATCTCAATTTTCCTTGATTACCAATATTTCAGTCAGTACAATATTACAAAAGAAAAATTAATTTAGTAGTTTAAGTAGTAAAATTTTCCCATTTTGTGAGGCCTTTGTGAAAACGGAACAGAAGAAAACAGGAGACCCTGTTTTTTTATTGGCGAAGCTTTCCCCAAAAGGTGTATACTTTACTGGAGGAAGTTTCAGTTTCAGCATGGAGAATGAAGGTTTGAAATTATCAACTACTTCATCCAATGTACATTTCAAATGTGCACGCCTTGATTAATGTTTAACACAATATCAATGCCAAACTGTAAGAGGGTGAAGTTAAATTCTGTAGCCCCCAGTAAGCATAACATCATCAATACACTTGACGAACAAAAAAATTATCGTTTTAGCAGACTGACCTCTTGATTCTGTGATGAGGCTGCTCGTTAGTTGGCGTCTATAGTTTTAGTAAGCTTTTCAAAATCTTCAGCCGAAAGAGATGACAGATATGTGGTAGGGTAAAAAAAGTACTGTTTATTTATTTGCTTATAACTGACCTGTACTTGTAAAACATGTTTAGTAGCCTTCTCCCAGTTCTCGTCTTTTATCATATGACAAATTTCCTTCAACATCATACCAAAAACAAGTTGCATTAGGTTTCTGAGAAGCTCAATTCTAGTTGGAATTTCCTTCAACCGTGGGCATTGTCCAATCCTCAGCAATGTAAATTAGGCATCGCACATTTCTCTATCATCATCCATTTCAATCCTATGAAGTCATTCAGATACAAGTTTTGGAGTTCTGGAAACCAACCTTCTTTGAAGTGCGATTGTCCATCACAAGTCAGTCGCAATGAGAATAAACACCAATAAATTAGGCAGAGCTTGAAGCACTGTCATGGAATCATTGACTGATCCAGCCAACTTCAATTCTAATCTGATTATATTTTGAAGTTTAGTAATCCAAACTGGTAGCTTCTTGATATTCACACTCAAGTCCAAGCATTGATGACATTGCGGAGGAGAAGCCACGGATTCGATATCAAGAATCTCTTCTCCACTTGTCAACACCAATATACTCAACAGTTCAAGGTTTTCCATATTCTCTACAATAGAAAACAGATCCTTCACATCTCTATATCCAAGCCTAATGCCCAACTTTCTCAACTGCTTTAGTATCCTAAGCTCATTAAGTTCTTCAGTATTTGCATGCACTTGAAGTAACTTCTGCAACTCCCTTAAAGCCCCAAAATCCTCTTGTATTTTTGCTCTACTTCCATAAGGACCTAATGAGCTTAGGATGCTAATTCAAGCTCAATATCAGTGAATTACTGTTGATTACAAAATGGTGCCAAAACTAGTTGGGTATGGATCATATGCCAGTGCTTCATGAATAGGATATTGATCGTAACTTATGGCTGGCCACTGCGTTAGAGTCACTGCCTCTTCTTTCTTCTTCTCCTTTTTCTCCTCCGTTGGATAGAGTGTATATATTATACTTAATTTCTCATAAAATTGTCTTTAGCGATTTTTTTTGTGCATTCTTCACAGACAGTGATCCAGGCCTGTAAATCGACGTACCTTTTTACAGCTTCAGTTTGGAAAACTTAATACTGGCAAGAGTGGTCTTGCCTAGTCTTTCTTGGCTGGTCCAAATTTTTATTAAATCTATTTCAAGCTACACATTATTAGGTGTTTGATGAAAAATTAGATGTGGCAGTTTTTGATTCATAATAAATTTCAGTTATCAAATTCTGTATTCCAATTTATATCAATGGGATCGAGTTCTCACGGGTTTCATGGTGGTGTATGGCTTCTTGTTGTGAGCAAAGGTTATACTTTTGGGTGATATATAATTATAAAAGAGAGGCCTCAGCTATCGAGGATTTCATAGAAAAAAACAACAAATCCATGGAAACAGGGTAAAACAGTGGAGCTGTATTTGATTGCCAGCGGTGTATTCTCGAAAAGGCTTATACTTTTTTCAACTTCCAATGGAAGAAGCCATCAATAAGGATCTATTAAAAGTACTAAACAATCCAAAAACAAGAAAAAAAAATACATCTGACATAAGAAATTAAGAATGCTTTAGTCTGCCACTCCATCTTAATTCATAAGATGTATATGTAATTTAAATCTGATATAAGAAATTAAGAATGCTGCTATGGTTGCTCTAAATTGATCATCAGAACAATTCCATATATTTTGAGTGTTGATTTACCCAGAGTTAAAAGTTATAGAGAAGTAAAGCAGAGAACATGCATCCTATATAAATCGTACCCTGGAATTTCACAGTTTGAACACTGCAAAAGGTTGCCTGATGCTCACTCATGCATTTGCTTGCACCTGATAATGATTTCTTTTTTATCTAAGGAAGTAATCAATGTACATTGATGATTAACTCTAGGAAATATTAATGTTATTGCCTAAATGCCCATGAGATTGACTGGAACATGAAATTTTGTTCATTAATAAAGTTTCTTTTCTACAAATTGTTCATCTACAACAATCGATAATGAAAGAATTTCAAATTAGTTAGAACCTGCATGATCACCATTAATTAAAGCTTTAAGCAGTAACTGAGACACCATAAATGACCAATCATCACTAAAATATTAACTAATTAATACTAACAAAGGTTTGTTAATCATGTCCAGCATTAATCACAACAAGTTTTCAATTATCAGACTAAAGATTCAAAAGCAAATAAACATGCCAGAAATAAAAAGGAAACTCAGTAATTGAAGGTTTAATAATTAAATACCTCCATCGCACAAAGAGAATGTGAAACTTCCATCATTTGTTCCTCAATTTTAGCTTTCTCATTCATCAAATCTGTATACATCTCCTGCCGAACAAAAACAATCCAACACCTAAAGTGTTAGATAAACAACACACTCTGGATCAAATCCACTGTTCACTAGTTAATCATTTACCTTCAATGGAACCAAGAAGTTGTCATCATCAAAGTCAAGAGAATGTGAAACTTCCATCATTTGTTCCTCAATCTTAGCTTTCTCATTCATCAGATCTGTATACATTTCCTGCCGAACCAAAACAATCCAACATCTAAAGAGTTAGATAAACAACACTCTCGGGATCAGATCCACTGTTCACTAGTTAATCATTTACCTTCAATGGAAGCAAGAAGTTGTCATGATCGAAGTTTTAACTCATAACACAAGAACTTGGACTGTTCACAAGAGCAACATCATCCTCTTTCTTCTTTAACAAGAGCTCCTGCATGTTCCTGTAGATTTCCAAACAAAACACAGATATAATAGTATTATTCAACAACAATTTATCATAAGCAAATTAACAAGCTGCAAGCACGTAGTAACCTTTCCATTCTGGCCATGGCTTCCTTGAGCATATTGAACTCCATAGCACAAACAGGATCCTGAGTCGGATAATCACCATCCAATTTCTCCTTCTCATAATATCTCAGGAACTGAACATTCATCCTCTTACCCCACTTGAGCATCCCTCTACTCTTAAGCTCATTCCAGCATCGCCCCTTCGTGGAAGGTTCATGACCGGCTTCCATGGTGTACTTTTTGTATATCAGAAATAGAGATTAGAACGAGAAAGCACGTACCTCGAAAGCTTCGTTGACTATGACGGAATTTCTAGAACTGATATTAAGAAGAAGCCGTTTCTCAAGTTCAACTGTTGAGTTGTGTTTTGGTTTGAGAGGAAAGAGGACAATAACAACTTCAATGGTGAAGTGGGAGAGAAAATAAAGAAGCACGAGGGGTTGGGTTGGGTTTGGTTAGGCTCGTAACCACTACACTCTTCCATGTGATGTTTTTGGCAATATCCTAAAAAACCACACACTCTTCCATGTGTTGGTCTTTATCAAATATCAAATATTACTTGGGATTTTTTTTTCCCTCTGGAAGCCGGTTTAAAAAAAAAAAAAAAAAAAAAAAAAAACTCGGTAGATTTCACAAGTGCAAACTTGTCAAATCAAATGTATTAATTATTACATAAGGGTTGTTGAACATTGCAATTAATACTACTAACATTACCCAGATAATTGAAAAATAACAAATGGACACAACCGCAACCAAATCAAATAATACGTTACACATTTTATCCAATGATCAGATCCAGCAATACTACATCATTCCCAAGAAATGATCACAGGAGATATGACAAGTTTCTTCATACAAGCTGCACAATTTTGTGGTTCAGAAGTCTCATAACATAACCATCAGGACATTTTTGTTCTAAAATTGGCATTTACTGCTTGAGAAAAATAACACCAGGTACACGTCTCTCTCGTTTGGCAAGCCATCTCAAACAAGAAGATGTTCAAAATGAAATATGTGGATTATCAAAAGGGAACAGAGGAAAACAGGGGACTCTGTTTTTGATTGGCGAAGCTTTCCGCAAAGGTTTACAATTCATTGACCTTTTTATTGAAAGAGTAAGCATAAAAAGCATTTTATAATATCAACCAATAAAATTTGCAGAGCTCTCGACAAAGGTTTAAACCAACGAAAAGAAAATGGAATAGACAAAACTCATAACATAAAACAATTAAATCAAGTACATGCAGGTTCATAGAGTACTCACCAAATAAAGAACATGGTAAATCAAGAATGTTGTTTATTATTGGCAGAGGTGACATACTTTCTTGAACTTCAAATGGAAGTAGCTACCAATAAAATTCCATTGAAAGAGAAAAGTCCCAAGATAGGAAATTAAACAAACCATTAGAATTACATGACCAAATCAAATGTATTTTACATATTACACAAGGAAGTTGATGAACAACTGCAAGTAATACTTCATCTTTACTACCATTCCCCGGACAATACAACAATCACACATTGCAAGATGTCGCCACCAATACTACACCATTCACAAGAAACAAGTACATAAAATCTTGGAATTACCTGGTTTATTCATGTGGACAACGATTTAATCATGATGTTCTCAAAATCCAAGGTACATCATCTGTTCATGATAATAGAAAAAAACAAGTCTTAGTTATTTATAGGATAACAAAAAAAATCATACTTCACTTGATATTTGGTTCTAAAATGTTAATATGTGTTAGAAATTCATCAACTAGTCACCAGTATTCGACGGTAAGGGGCAATTTTCGGTAATTGCAGATCTTTCAGCATGTTACGGTAACAAAATTGATTTGATAATAAAATGATCTCTCAAAACGATCTATCTATCTATATAATTTTAAACTTGAAAAATGATTGCGTTTGTCTAGGATCTGACCAAGAAAGTGTGACCACCCGAAGTTTCTCTGTCAGATCCTAGCAAAACGTTGCATATATTGCTAAAAATAATTGTACATATAGATAGATCATTAAAATTGAATTATTTTGATACCAATATTGTTACCTAATATCACCAAAACAAATTCTGAAAATGAGATATGCGGCCGGTACTGGATTCCGTTAACCAGAACTTAATCAATTAATTAAGGTAATTTAAAAAAAAAAAAATGTTTTAAACAAAATAAATTATAAGAACATTTATATTTAAGTTTACATTTATAAAGAAATTTAAGATTTTAGAAGTCAAAACACACCCTAAGTATTGCCATGAAAAATTATAAGATTTTTCCTCCTATAGTTGGACAGAAGATATAAAATCAAGATGAAACTAATTCTTATATAATTTAAATGGAGTACCTGTTGTTCACAGATGAGAGAACTAGTTACTTCGCTCCACTTCTTCAATAAATTGCTCAAAAGCAACAGGTGAGAGAGACGAGAGATACTTAGTAGTTTCATAAAAAAAATTTCCTTCCTTTTTGAAAATGACACGGACTTGTGGTATATGTTGGGTGACTTTATTCCACTTCTCGTCTTTTGTCATATAATAAGTTTCTTTCAACATAAGAAAAAACACAAGAGTCTTTAGGTTTCTTAGATGTTCAATTTCAGTTGGAATCTCTTTCAATCGAGGGCATTGTCCAATAAGTAATTCTTCAAGGTTAGGCATTGCACCTTTGTCTATCATCATCCGTTCCACTCCTTCTAAGCTGAAGAGTTTCAAAATTTTTAGTTTTGGAAACCAATCTTCTTTGAAATGTAATTGCTTATCATGGCATGTGTTCGATAGCCTAAGCTCCAATAAATTAGGCAGGGCTTGAAGGACTCTTATGGGATAATCACTTAACCCCAACAAATTCAAACTAATTCTGATTATACATTCCAGTTTAAATACCCAGTCTGGCAGCTTCTTCATATTTCCTTTTAGGTAGAGGCGTTGGAGACAATGAGGAGGGGAAGCCATGAATTCTCTATCAAGAATTTCTTCTCCACTTGCCAACTTAAGATACAGAGATTCAAGTTTTTCCATATTGGCAATGCAAGCACACAGATCCTTCGCATTTCCATTCGTCACCCTAATTCCTAACTTTCTCAGATGCCTTAGCTTCCTAAGCTCTTTGAGTACTTCGAAGTTAGCATCCACATAACCTAGCTTCTGTAGATCCAATAAAGAGCNTCGCTCCACTTCTTCAATAAATTGCTCAAAAGCAACAGGTGAGAGAGACGAGAGATACTTAGTAGTTTCATAAAAATTTTTTCCTTCCTTTTTGAAAATGACACGGACTTGTGGTATATGTTGGGTGACTTTATTCCACTTCTCGTCTTTTGTCATATAATAAGTTTCTTTCAACATAAGAAAAAACACAAGAGTCTTTAGGTTTCTTAGATGATCAATTTCAGTTGGAATCTCTTTCAATCGAGGGCATTGTCCAATAAGTAATTCTTCAAGGTTAGGCATTGCACCTTTGTCTATCATCATCCGTTCCACTCCTTCTAAGCTGAAGAGTTTCAAAATTTTTAGTTTTGGAAACCAATCTTCTTTGAAATGTAATTGCTTATCATGGCATGTGTTCGATAGCCTAAGCTCCAATAAATTAGGCAGGGCTTGAAGGACTCTTATGGGATAATCACTTAACCCCAACAAATTCAAACTAATTCTGATTATACATTCCAGTTTAAATACCCAGTCTGGCAGCTTCTTCATATTTCCTTTTAGGTAGAGGCGTTGGAGACAATGAGGAGGGGAAGCCATGAATTCTCTATCAAGAATTTCTTCTCCACTTGCCAACTTAAGATACAGAGATTCAAGTTTTTCCATATTGGCAATGCAAGCACACAGATCCTTCGCATTTCCATTCGTCACCCTAATTCCTAACTTTCTCAGATGCCTTAGCTTCCTAAGCTCTTTGAGTACTTCGAAGTTAGCATCCACATAACCTAGCTTCTGTAGATCCAATAAAGAGCCAAACCCCAAAGGCATTTTTACCATTTCGTAACGATCACTACCTTCCCAACGGTACATCATTAAATAACGCAACTTCTTAAGATTCTTGATCTCAATAAGAAGCTCAGTGACAAGAGAACGCTTCAAATTCAAGGTCTCTAAGTTAGGAAGCTTACCAATGGACTTGGGAAGTACATTTACTTTTGTATTTTTCACACTTAAGTAGTGCAAATGGAAAAGGTTTCCCACTCCTTCAGGAAGATACTCTATTGGACTATCTTCAAAATCAAGTACTTTTATAAGTTTGAAATCCACAACAAGTGTAGTCATGAAGGAGTTAGTCATCCTTTCAACATTGAAAAGCAAAACAGAACGTATCTTTGAATCCTTGATGCTCTCAAGAACACTATCAGTACTTCCTGGTATTGAAATGCGCCGAATTTTGTTAGGGAGATTTGAGTGTTCTCTATTCAAAACATGAGAGAAGCTCAAATATTCGGTCTTTCTAATGATAATCTCATGCATCAAATCATGGACTCGACAGTATCTAGGTCTTCCAATGAAATCCATCTCCACCACTTGAACCAAGCTTCTGTTAATGAGATCAATCAAGAATTCTTCAGCAACTTGTTCAGATGTGCGACGTTTGGAATAAGGGACAAAGCCCTCAGCAATCCATAGGCGAATCAATCTTGCACAATTGACTGAGTAGCTTTCTGGAAAAATACCAAAATACAAGAGACAAGATTTGAGATGGTGAGGTAGACCATAATAACCTTCTAATAAAACTTTGTTGCAATCTTTTAGATGAAAATCGCTTCCCAACTGTGACCCCAAATCATCAAGTAACTTTTTCCATTCAAAAGCATCCTTGTTCTTGTTTGAGAGAAGGCCACTTACGGCAACAATTGCTAGCGGTAAACCTCCGCATTTCCCAAGGATGTCACGAGATAGTTTCTCCAACTCGGGGGGGCAACACTCGTGAGGACCAAAAGCCTTTATACAGAAAAGTTCAAACGCCTTATCTGAAGGCAAGGGTTGTAGCCTATGGACATGAACAAAAGGAATCAGATCAGCAATTCTCTTGTTTCTAGTTGTGAGAATAATCCTGCTGCTTTTGTTGTTCTCAATTAAAGCATACTCTATATATCCCCAAAAATCAGTTTTCCACACGTCATCGAACACAACCATGTAACACTTGTCCTTTAATTGTCTCTCAAGTGTGGCGAGCAGATCTTTCTCTTCCATTTTGTCCATCTCTCCATGAGAAGACCCTGTCACACGCTCAAATTCTCGTATAGTTTTCCTTAGTATATCCATTTTGGTGTATTCTTTCCCAACAGTGATCCAAGCTTGGCAATCGAAATGCTTCTTCATGGTATCATTCTTATAAATTTTCCCGGCAAGAGTGGTCTTGCCAAGTCCTCCTTCGCCCACAACTGCAACCACTGAACGATTGGATGTTCCGCTTACCAAGAAACCAATCAATTGATCTATAGTAGATTCGATGCCCACAACTTCAGTGCCTGGGATTAAAAAGGAACCAACTCGAGAGTCATGTGGTAGAACATCTCCTTGATCTATGTGCTTGAAGTTATAATCTTCCGCTCTTCTCTGTACATCAGCAAGTGATAGCTTGATATCTTTAATCTCAGTGGCGATTTCATGTTTCAGTTTTAGAATCTTTATGAAGTAGCGCGCTTTATGAATGTAACCAACGAGACCTTTGCCATGAGGAAGTCTCGCCGCCTTCATTGTATACTCGTCAATGGCATCTTCAATCTGGAAAGCTTCTTCCCTCAATTGTTTCACCCAAGTTTTGACACCTTCACTGCTCCCTTCTTCTTCTTCTTCTTGTGCAGCTCTTGTATCAGCATCCTTGAGGAAAGATCTGATGCTCTCCAATTCACGCTTGATGTCTTCAACTCCTTTTTTTGCATTTCCCAACAACTTGATTTCTTGGACGAGCAAAGAACTCAAGGTTTGTATTACAGAGTTCACTGCACCCTCTGCCATATCTCAAATCTCACTTTTTTCTTGTTACTCGCTGCATTGACATCAAAACTTTCTAAAATTTCTACTCCATTAGTAATTTTATTTTATTTTTGCTTTTTCTGTTTTAATTCATAACATATCTATTAATGGGGAAAACACAATATGATTTATTAAAAATTTTCCGGTCAATCTACGATTTTTTTTTTCATATCATGAAGTTTGCGCTTAATACAATCTTAACAAAGCATATATCCCTATGTCCTAAACAGAAAACAGAATTAAAAATCTAATCCAACCTAAATTAATTTCTAGCCAATCTATTTCTAGCTAAACTGAAAACTACAATGATTTTGTTATGAAATTCATATATCTTGTAGTGATAAATAAGCATATTAGTTTAACAATAAATTGAGTTTAAATATCTACTTCAGAAACTCCAACTACCAAAGAAGCTAAGTTTAATTGATTACCTGTCACTGGATGATATTTGAATGTGATCTAAGAAATAGCACCTCTTCTTCTTTGTTTATAGAAGCCTTTCAATTTATCAAGCAGGAGGGGACTTCCTTTGGCCTTTACAAATTAGTTTTCAGAAGGTGGGAATTGGTTGGAACACTATAACATCAGAAACAAAACACTCTCGGTTCATACTACAAGTGAATTTAAATGTAAACTCTATGTCATGATACCAGATCCCATCATGTATACAATAATTGATTGTTGTGTTAAGAAAGATAAAGAAACGGTCCAGTGGGTGGGACATGAGGATGAGACGATGAGTACAATTATTTAGATGCTTTTGTTGACTAATAAAAGAGATGGGTCCCATATATCAAATCAACAAAGCTACTTTATGACTATTATTCTAAAGAGACAAGAGTCCACGTCTATTACTTCATAAAAAATATCTAGACTATTAGATCGAGATCAAGTAACAGTTGACTATGATCCAAGGGTCTATGTTAATTTGATGTTTGTGTAGTCAACAAAGCTAGCGGGTACAGGCACACTATATAGCTGCAAAATTCATATTTGTTTGATAGTGATAAATAAGTGTATCAATTTAACATTAAATTAAGTTTAAATATCTAATTTATAAATTATAACCATAAAGAAGCTAAGTTTAATTGATTACCTATTACTCCGTGATATTTGAATGTGATCCAAAAAATAACACTTCTTCTTCTTTGTTTATAGAAGCCTTCAGATTCAATTAAAAAAAAAAAAAAAAAAAGAGTTAAAACTTCATTAAATTTGTCAGAATAAAAAGAAAACAGACAAGAAAAAAAAAAATTTGTAATAACAGAAGAACACTGGCACCTTCAAAATTTCTGAGCCAAGATAACAAAATTCAAACTATGAACTGTTTAACTTAGAAATATTGAATAGTTCATAAGATAGTCGAGACAAGAAGCTAAGTTAGTATAAGCGATATCAAGCGGAGGGGACTGACTTGGCTTTTAGTTTTCAGGAGGTGAGAATTGGTTGGAACTTGGAAGGGAAAAGAATTTTTCTTTATCTTTATGTTTTTGGCAATTTGAAGAAGTATCGATGCTTTATTTAATTCCAACCAAACTTGGAAGGCAAAATTTGTCTTTCTCATCTTTTTGGGGATTTGGAGTACATTATCTAATTTCATTCCAACCGAACACTTGGAAGGGCAGAGAATTGTCTTGCCTTATCTAATTTCCAGCCGAACACTTGGAAGGGAAAAGAATTGTCTTCCTCACCTTTTGGTGATTTTGAATTAATCATCTATGCTTTATTTAATTTCCAACCGGACATTGGAAGGAAAAGAATTTTATTTTCCTCACTTTTGGAGATTTTGAAGTTAATTATCTATGCTTTATTTAATTTCCAACCGAACATTGGAAGGGAAAAGAATTTTTTTTTCTCATCTTTGGTGATTTGAAGTAAAACATCTATGTTTTATTTAATTTTCAAGCAAACACTATCTTAATTTTAAGTTCGACTTGTGTATTGCCTGATGCTTACTCTTTCATTTGAATTTGAATTAGAGAACATTGTGTGAGTTTGTTTTCCGAAAAATTCTTGCTTAAAATGAAGATTCCTGAGGGAACAACATAGTGAATATAAATTACAAACACAACTATAACGTCAGAAACAAGAGACACTCAGTTCATATACAGGTGAATTTAAATGTTAAGTCTCGTCTTGATACCAGATCCCATCATACTACAAATTACCGGACACGTAACAAGTAACACATTGACAGTTTGCTAGCAATATTACAGTAGCTATTCTTCCAATGCAAGAAACACGCTGACAGAAATAGCCATTGCATTCCTGATTGATGAATTCGGAAGTTGATTCATTAATTTATTCTCACGATTGTAGACTATTCATCTATTCATGGCAATCATTTCAAGAATAATTAAAAAACAATTGTGATGGATGTCATGCAAAGGGAAAGAACGGTAAATATAGGCAAGTGAATTGAGACATTGCCAAAGACGACATGAAAGATTTAGCAATGGCAGCAGGCTACTGGCTATGCGTGGAAGAGAATTAATCAGGACTGACTTGATGTGACGAGCCTCCAAAGATTGTTTATTATGACCAAGGGTCTATTCTCATGCTCGGGCATACCATGCAGAAGATTTCTTCCAATTTGATGAGCTTGTGAATTTCTTCGGGGCCTTGTTCAATTTCATAGATTTTCCTAAAACTAGCTTCTGAAACCGATTGGGCTTGAATTTTAACTCCTCCCCAATATACGCATCAACCAATCGAAGCTCCAGTGACGAAGGCAAAGCTTGAATGGCCTCAAGAGGGCAGTTCAACAATTTTGACCCTTTAAGACGTATCTTAGCGAGACTGTGTACGGAGCTAATCCATTGAGGAATGTACTGTAAACGACCTCCCAGATATAAACTACAAGGGAGATGAATCATCCAGAGAGAAACTCATTTGTTGATGACACATGTAAAGAGGAAAGATCTTCCTTGTTTTGAATAGATGCACACAAATCCCTTCCATGACCACTTTCAAGCTTTGTGATCCCCAGTTTCCTCAGTTGAACCAAATTTCCCAACTCTCAACAATCTTCTTGCTTGCCTTGACAAGTGACAGCTTCTGTAGAGATTCTAAACTTCCAATTCCTAGAGGCATCTCTGCTCCTACAAGAGCTTGATTCTCATTGATTGAGTCAACAAAGAGGTAAAGCAACTTGCAAAGTTTACAGATCTTCTTGGGCAACTTCTTGACATGTGTTTGTCTAAGGTCCAAAGTCACAAGGTTTAGGAGCTTCTTACCAAATCTTGAAATTGTTTTGATCTTTGTATTTCTCAAACTTGGGTACCTCAGGAGCGTGAGAGCATCTATCTCATGTGGAAAACATTCCAAAGCTGCATCTTCCAGATCTAAAACTCTTAAAAACCTAAAGATATCAAGTGGCTTTCCAGACAATAATTGATTACAACTCTCTCCCCCAAATGAGATGAGGGTACAAACATGAGATAAGTCTGTCTCTGCAGGTAACAATTTGTTGTCAAAATTGTTGATAGGTAAGCGTCTAGAAGGCTGATCAACTATAATTCTGTTTCTTTCTGTGAAAACCTGACTGAAGTTATCTCCCTTGGGCTTGGAGATGATAACCTCTCACACAAGAGTTTGAACCCAGCAACTTCTTACTCGCCCTTGAACCCAGCAACTTCTTACTCGCCCTTGAAGATCCCTTTGACTTGCATGAACTAGGTTAATTTGAATGACATTGAGGTATTCATTGATCATATCCTCCGCTGTCTTGTTCTTCTCTCCTCAACAAACTGTTCAGCTATCCACAAGTGAGCCAATCTTCCTCATGAAACAGAACGATCCTCTGGGAAATTGCAAAGTTACAAGAAGCAGCATCTGAGATTATAGGAAAGATGGAAGTAACTTTGTTGTAATATCTTTTGCAGGACTGATAAATGGTCACTGCTTCCTAGCTCATGACCTAAGCTATTATGCAATTTCTCAAATTCTGAGGTAGTTTGCCCGCTTATTTGACAAAAGGCTGGCTGCAGCAACTAATGCTAATGGCAATCGTTCACATCTTGTGAAGATACACTCAGAACAGCCAACCAAGCGTTCAGGGCATTTATTTCCTCGGAAGGCCTTATGATGGAAAGTTCCCATCCCTCATCCCATGTTAGAGCTTCGAGAAAGTAAATGTGATTCCAAGGCTTTGCACAATAAGAAGCTACATCACCTTTATGTGTGGAAATAATTGTCCTACTACCAGGGCGACCATCAGGTAGAGCACACTGAATATGATTCCACTCATCATTGCTCCCAATTCCATCTACAAAAATAACGTACCTCTTTCGCTGTAAGTATCTCCATTGCTGCACAAATCTTATCTGATATGCCCTCCACAGGCACAGGGTGAGGAACTGAAAGCAAGGCATGACACTCAAAATCTTCCTTCAACTTTCTATAAACTTCCGTGATGAGAGTGATTTTACCTGAGCCACGAAGTCCAACCACTGGAAACCAGCATCTTCCCATGTTCTCCCATTTTTATGAGATCAAGAAGCTCATTTCTACATTTCTCAATGCCTACTAATTCATCAACCATGGCTTCGGGATAACGAACTGTGCCAGAACTATTCAAGGCATGTTCAGGGGGAAGTATGAGAAAAGCATCTAAAAATATCTTTTATCTTGGCTTTGATAGTCTCCATGCGAGAGAACCGACGCGAAGGGTTTCTTGTCATTTACAGAGTGAGCCAAATCATGAAGAAATTGAGAGATCTTATGTTCATGAAAGTGATCAGGTACCTCAAGCATAAACTCTTCAATTGCATCCTCTATTTCATATGCTAAATCACGCACTTGTTTAAGATGATTCTTCCCAGCAACCAAGCTTGTCATAAGAACTTGGAGAACAGCAAGCAGATGTGTAAATGTTTTTATGGCATTTTTTATTTGGCCCTGTGCAATCTGGTGTTTAGCTTTAGTTTGCCATCATTCTCCTAGCCAGGGCCCAGCTGTCTGATGGTTGCAGTCGCCACATCTCCCATGAAATTGGAATGTAATTTCCGGCATAAGTTATTCCTTAAAAATCTGATGAGAAGAAAGAGCAGTATAATCTCAACCCCGACGACTTCATCTTTTTCCTCTGATGATCAGTACTTTACATATTCTGCCCTGCCGCAAAAATACGAAGACACAGGAGATGAGCAATACATCATGCACAACTTGAAAGCCTCATACGACAGTACTACTTACGATTATTATCCCAAGCCAGCAGAGCTTCTAGCAGGCTAATTGATTTTTTTTTTTTTTTTCCTTCTTTTCTTCTTTTTGTTCTTGTAAGAAACATTTACATAACAGCAACTGTTTCTGAGATCGACAATCCCATTTGACTACCTTCAGAAGAATGGACTTAAATAACAATAATCTGAGAATATTGTTAGGAGGGAAATTGCATCATAGGTGCTACACAGCAGCTATGTTTCCCTGTACAAGTTGAGATAGATACAGTTAATCCTGATCTAATTTATCCAACTCAAAATGCTTATAGGAGCGGACACTAAAAGTACTAAGCAGCGTTTACCTTCTAATATCTTGGCCAAGTGCAAAGTTTAAGACATGCCTTCCTCACCCTTTTTCTCCAACTATGCCCACTTCATCACTTTTTTCTTCCTCTGATATTGATGACAATAGTTGGATTTCCTCTGCCTCAGGTACTGCATTCATAGGCGATTCCTCGAACATCACCTTCACCAAATCTTCTACTTCCATTGGAGCACTTATATTGGTTGCCAGATTATCAATTTCTTTTCTCCTGGCTTGATCCCAATGATTGTGCCAAGAATGATGATCTGAAATACAAAAAGATAATGAACAAACCTATAGCAGTTGCTTGTTGAACACTTAAGTTTACACAAATAACAATTGGCTGATACAATTGTTGGATTATTAAAGTTGCTGGGCAGCAAAAAACAAGAAGCCTAAATACAAAGTCAAACACTGTAAATCAATTGGAGGATTATTAAAGAAACATGTCCCTAACAAAGTTACTGCGTAGTATGTCAAATGCAAACTGTTAAATAAACAGCAAAAAACAAGAAGCATAAATACAAAGTCAAACACTGTAAATCAAATAATTAGTACCTGTGGAGTGCCATCCAGAAGCAGAATAAGCACAGAAAGCCATCATAAGGAACCTGCAAATCAAAGCATGATGCCAAAGAGAAAATTAGTGTCCCTCACCCTCAGTCCCTAAATTAACATCTTCTATGGTTTCCAGGGAAACAGGGTGATGATGATGATGAGGATGATACTAAATGTTCAACCCCGTTACTGCAAATTGATTCTGTTTCGATTGTTTTCTCCACTGATGATTTTAGCTTCTCCATTAGAACCTGCATGATCACCATTAATTAAAGCTTTAAGCAGTAACTGAGACACCATAAATAACCAATCATCACTAAAATGTTAACTAATTAATACTAACAAAGGTTTGTTAATCATGTCGAGCATTAATCACAACAAGTTTTCAATTATCAGACTAAAGATCCAAAAGCAGATAAACATACCAGAAATAAAAAGGAATCTCAGTAATTGAAAGTTTAATAATTGAATACCTCCATTGCGCAAAGAGAATGTGAAACTTCCATCATTTGTTCCTCAATCTTAGCTTTCTTATTCATCAAATCTGTATACATCTCCTGCCAAACCAAAACAATCCAACGCCTAAAGAGTTAGATAAACAACACTCTCGGGATCAAATCCAGTGTTCACTAGTTAATAATTCACCTTCAATGGAAGCAAGAAGTTGTCATCATCAAAGTTAAGAGAATGTGAAACTTCCATCATTTGTTCCTCAATCTTAGCTTTCTTATTCATCAGATCTGTATACATCTCCTGCCGAAACAAAACAATCCAACACTTCAAGAGTTAGATAAACAACACTCTCGGGATCAAATCCACTGTTCACTAGTTAATCATTTTTCTTCAATGGAAGCAAGAAGTTGTCATCATCAAAGTTCTGACTCGTAACACAAGAACTTGGACTGTTCACAACAGCAACATCATCCTCTTGCTTTTTTAACAAGAGCTCCTGCGTATTCCTGTTTATTTCCAAACAAAACACACATATATTAGTATTATTCGACATCAAATTATCATAAGGAAATTGACAAGCTGCAGGCTAGTAACCTTTCCATTCTGCCCATGGCTTCCTTGAGCATATCACAAACAGGATCCTGAGTCGGATTATCACCATCTAATTTCTCCTGCTCATAATTTCTCTGGAACTGAACATTCATCCTCTTACCCCACTTGAGCATCCCTCCACTCTTAAGCTCATTCCAGCATCGCCCCTTCGGCGAAAGTTCATGACCGGCTTCCATGGTGTACATTTTGTAATCAGAAATAGAGATTAGAACGAGAAAGCACGTACCTCGAAAGCTTCGTTGACGATGAAAGAAATTCTAGAACTGAGATTAAGAGGAAGCCGTTTCTTTCCTCTCTATGCCAAAGAACTAAACTGCTGAGTTGTGTTTTGGCCTTAAATGGTAAAGTGGGACAGAGAACAAAGAAGCACGAGGCACGAGGGGTTGGTTTTTTTTTTGGTTTGGATTGGCTCGTAAACACCACACGCTCTTCCATGTGATGTTTTTGGTAATATCCTAAAAAACCGCACACTATTCCATGCGTTGGTCTTTATCAAATATTAAATATTATTATTATTTTTTTTTTTTTCTGGAAACCGGTTTTAAAATGACTTGCGAAATCAAATCTATATAAACAAACAAGGAAGTAACAGACTGCTATTAATACTGCATCTCTACTGCAATTAATATGTCATCTTTTTGGTCTAAGCTACTGCCACATTCAGTTGACTTTATGTTCTTCAAGCAAGTAGCAAGCGAACTCCTTTGGTATTAGAAGTTACTTTCTATATTTGATTCCAAGTTCATTTAGTACCTGGTTGGTGAGCCAGGGTGCTAGGACATTTGCTCATGCAGCATCGTGAATAAATCTGCTGTAAGGCTATTAAATGACTTTTGTTTCTCCATTGTAGGTATGGAGGCTGTTGGAGAGGTAATTGCTGTGGGCGCTGTGCTTACTGGCAGGGAAGTTGGAGATATCGTGGCTTATGCTGGCAATCCAATGGGTTCATATTCTGAAGAGCAGATCCTTATTGCAAACAAAGTGGTTCATACTTAACGTTCAGTTTCTACTTCGTCGTTGCTTCAAGGTAGGTATCATGATTCATGTGCATCTTGGAGCATTTGCTCTTCCAATTTCCATTATCATGGTACAAAATAGTTCTTGGCCAGAAAAAACATATAATCTAATTAAGTTATCCTTGAATTGGACGTCTCTTTACGGCTAGCAAAAACAAAAAAGTTTGGCATATGAAAGACTGTTCGAATAAAATGCCTTCATCATGAATGTTTTATTTATCTTCAAAATTTCATTATTTTAGTAATTTTAATAATGATGTAGCAGGTGTTGGATTTGGTGGAGAAAGGCAAAAGGAATTAAAGTCGGCAAATATTGAAGCTCAAAGATAAAAAGTAATTAAAGAAATGCAGGAGCAAAATAGTCAAATAAAGAGGCTTTTAAAAGGCTGAAACATGATTAACACCACTCTTCACGTTCACTAAAAAATAGTAACTAAGCATAACAATAGGAACTAAACAGCTAAATACATTTTAGACTCTTTCAACCAATGTCTAAAGACTTATTTAACCCTGCTGACTAAAAGGATCATATTCGGGGATCACTGGCATGCTTAAAGCTAACATACTGAATTTTGGGCAGTCTTCTACTAACACACTAGATCCAGTTCCCTTATCAGTACTGGCCCCAAAATCTCTGTTCTTGACGGGGCCTTCTCTCATGCAATACACGACAACACTGGATGAGCTGCTGCGGAGGTATTTGCCGACGTTGCATCAGGTGTCTTGCTAGTTCGTGTAAGTCATACATACCCCTGGGCACATGCAGACTGTTTCATGTTCACAGAACAGATAGAGATTGTTTGGTTAAGTGCGTTGTGAGGCTTGCTATGTATGCAAAGATCCATGTGCAATGACTATACTTTATCACCAAGGGAAGTTGTGTGGTTTGTGATATAGTAGCAATGATTAAATTTGTAATTTACTTTAAATTTGGTTTAATTAATTGAATCTTCAAATACTAATTAAAGATTAAGTCAAACTCTGCCACTCTCACTCTCTTCTTTCTGTTACACACTTTTCAGACAAATCAGCTTTTCTTGTTATTCTCTGCATTTAGTCAAACAGATTATTTATTTTTATTATTAATGCAAATAATTATTAATTTATACTAAAACGACGCCGCAAAACGCTTGGTTTAAGCAGACAATTCACTATATACTGAAATCTACAGGAACATGCAGGAGCTCTTGTTAAAGAAGCAAGAGGATGATGTTGCTGTTGTGAGCAGTCCAAGTTCTTGTGTTACGAGTCAGAACTTTGATAAGATTCTAGAAAGATGGAAGTAACTTGTTTGTAATATCTTTTGCAGGACTGATAAATGGTCACTGCTTCCTAGCTCATGACCTACTTATGCATTTCTCAAATTCTGAGGTATTTTTGCCCGCTTATTTGACAAAAGGCTGGCTGCAGCAACTAATGCTAATGGCAATCGTTCACATCTTGTGAAGATACACTCAGAACAGCCAACCAAGCGTTCAGGGCATTTATTTCCTCGGAAGGCCTTATGATGGAAGTTCCCATCCCTCATCCCATGTTTAGAGCTTCGAGAAAGTAAATGTGATTCCAAGGCTTGCACAATAAGAAGCTACATCACCTTTATGTGTGGAAATAATTGTCCTACTACCGCGACCACAGGTAGAGCACACTGAATATGATTCCACTCATCTTGCTCCCAATTCCATCTACAAAAATAACGTACCTCTTTCGCTGTAAGTATCTCCTTGCTGCACAAATCTTATCTGATATGCCCTCCACAGGCACAGGGTGAGGAACTGAAAGCAAGGCATGACACTCAAATCTTCCTTCAACTTTCTATAAACTTCCGTGATGAAGTGATTTTACCTGAGCCACGAAGTCCAACCACTGGAAACCAGCATCTTCCCATGTTTCTCCATTTTTATGAGATCAGAAGCTCATTTCTACATTTCTCAATGCTACTAATTCATCAACCATGGCTCGGGATAACGACTGTGCCAGAACTATTCAAGGCGTTCAGGGGAAGTATGAGAAAAGCATCTAAAAATATCTTTTATCTTGGCTTTGATAGTCTCCATGCGAGAGAACCGACGCGAAGGGTTTCTTGTCATTTACAGAGTGAGCCAATCATGAAAAATTGAGAGATCTTATGTTCATGAAAGTGATCAGGTACCTCAAGCATAAACTCTTCAATTGCATCCTCTATTTCATATGCTAAATCACGCACTGGTTTAAGATGATTCTTCCCAGCAACCAACTTGTCATAAGAACTTGGAGAACAGCAAGCAGATGTGTAAATGTTTTTATGGCATTTTTTATTTGGCCCTGTGCAATCTGGTGTTTAGCTTTAGTTTGCCATCATTCTCCTAGCCAGGGCCCAGCTGTCTGATGGTTGCAGTCGCCACATCTCCCATAAATTGGAATGTAATTTCCGGCATAAGTATTCCTTAAAATCTGATGAGAAAAAGACAGTATAATCTCAACCCCGACGACTTCATCTTTTTCCTCTGATGATCAGTACTTTACTATTTCTGCCCTCGCAAAAATACGAAGACACAGGAGATGACCTACATCATGCACAACTTGAAAGCCTCATACGACAGTACTACTTACGATTATTTCCAAGCCAGCAGAGCTTCTAGCAGGCTAATTGATTTTTTTTTTTTTTTTTCCTTCTTTTCTTCTTTTGTTCTTGTAGAAACATTTACGTAACCAACTGTTTCTGAGATCGACAATCCCATTTGACTACCTTCAGAAGAATGGACTTAAATACAATAATCTGAGACTATTGTTAGGAGGGAAATTGCATCATAGGTCTACACAGCAGCTATGTTTCCCTGTACAAGTTGAGATAATACAGTTAATCCTGATCTAATTTATCCAACTCAAAATGCTATAGAGCGGACACTAAAAGTACTAAGCAGCGTTTACCTTCTAATATCTTGCCAAGTGCAGTTAAGACAGGCCTTCCTCACCCTTTTTCTCCAACTATGCCCACTTCATCACTTTTTTCTTCCCTGATATGATGACAATAGTTGGATTTCCTCTGCCTCAGGTACTGCATTCATAGGCGATTCCTCGACATCACCTTCACCAAATCTTCTACTTCCATTGGAGCACTTATATTGGTTGCCAGATTATCAATTTCTTTTCTCCTGGCTTGATCCCAATGATTGTGCCAAGAATGATGATCTGAAATACAAAAAGATAATGAACAAACCTATAGCAGTTGCTTTGTTGAACACTTAAGTTTACACAAATAACAATGGCTGATACAATTGTTGGATTATTAAAGTTCTGGGCAGCAAAAAACAAGAAGCCTAAATACAAAGTCAAACACTGTAAATCAATTGGAGGATTATTAAAGAAACATGTCCCTAACAAAGTTACTGCGTATATGTCAAATGCAAACTGTTAAATAAACAGCAAAAACAAAAGCATATACAAAGTCAAACACTGTAAATCAATAATTAGTACCTGTGGAGTGCCATCCAGAGCAGAATAAGCCCAGAAAGCCATCATAAGGAACCTGCAAATCAAAGCATGATGCCAAAGAGAAAATTAGTGTCCCTCACCCTCAGTCCCTAAATTAACATCTTCTATGGTTTCCAGGGAAACAGGGTGATGATGATGATGAGGATGATACTAATGTTCAACCCCGTTACTGCAAATTGATTCTGTTTCGATTGTTTTCTCCACTGATGATTTTAGCTTCTCCATTAGACCCTGCATGATCACCATTAATTAAAGCTTTAGCAGTAACTGAGACACCATAAATAACCAATCATCACAAAATGTTAACTTTAATACTAACAGGTTTGTTAATCATGTCAGCATTAATCACAACAAGTTTTCAATTTCAGACTAAAGATCCAAAAGCAGATAAACATACCAGAAATAAAAGGAACTCAGTAATTAAAGTTTAATAATTGAATACCTCCATTGCGCAAAGAGAATGTGAAACTTCCATTTTGTTCCTCAATCTTAGCTTTCTTATTCATCAAATCTGTATACATCTCCTGCCAAACCAAAACAATCCAACGCCTAAAGAGTTAGATAAACACACTCTCGGGATCAAATCCAGTGTTCACTAGTTATAATTCACCTTCAATGGAAGCAAGAAGTTGTCATCATCAAAGTTAAGAGAATGTGAAACTTCCATCATTTGTTCCTCAATCTTAGCTTTCTTATTCATCAGATCTGTATACATCTCCTGCCGAAACAAAACAATCCACACACTTCAAGAGTTAGATAAACAACACTCTCGGATCAAATCCACTGTTCACTAGTTAATCATTTACTTCAAGCGATATCAAGCAGGAGGGGACTGACT